TCCCCTCACAGAGCACGTCCTTCACGTATCACATTCCCACGCAGCACGTCCCCCACGTAGCACGTCCCCACGCACACGTCCCCCACGTAGCACGTCCCCATGCAGCACGTCCCCTCAGAGTACGTCCTTCACGTAGCACGTTCCCACGCAGCACGTCCCCCACATAGCACGTCCCCCACGGAGCACGTCCCTCACATAGCACGTCCCCCACGCAGCACGTCCCCTCATAGCATGTCCCCTCACGCTGCACGTCCCTCACATAGCACGTCCCCCACGGAGCACGTCCCTCACATAGCACGTCCCCACGCAGCACGTCCCCCACGTAGCACGTCCCGCAGCACGTTCCCACGCAGCACGTCCCCCACGTAGCACGTCCCGCAGCACGTTCCCACGCAGCACGTCCTTCACGTAGCACGTTCCCACGCAGCACGTCCTTCACGTAGCACGTTCCCCCCATGCAGCACGTCCCCACGCAGCACGTCCCTCACATAGCACGTCCCCACGCAGCACGTCCCTCACATAGCACGTCCCCACGCAGCACGTCCCTCACATAGCACGTCCCCACGCAGCACGTCCCTCACATAGCACGTCCCCACGCAGCACGTCCCTCACATAGCACGTCCCCACGCAGCACGTCCCTCACATAGCACGTCCCCACGCAGCACGTCCCTCACATAGCACGTCCCCACGCAGCACGTCCCTCACATAGCACGTCCCCACGCAGCACGTCCCTCACATAGCACGTCCCCACGCAGCACGTCCCTCACATAGCACGTCCCCACGCAGCACGTCCCTCACATAGCACGTCCCCACGCAGCACGTCCCTCACATAGCACGTCCCCACGCAGCACGTCCCTCACATAGCACGTCCCCACGCAGCACGTCCCTCACATAGCACGTCCCCACGCAGCACGTCCCTCACATAGCACGTCCCCCACGCAGCACGTCCCTCACATAGCACGTCTCCCACGGAGCACGTCCCCTCATAGCACGTCCCCTCACGCTGCACGTCCCTCACATAGCACGTCCTTCACGTAGCACGTTCCCCCCATGCAGCATGTCCCCCACGCAGCACGTCCCCACATAGCACGTCCCCACGCAGCACGTCCCCTCGCACAGCCCGTCCCCTTCCCAGGTCACCACACGCGCTGTTTCCGAGGAGGAGACCGTCCTCCTTGCGCTTCTTTGTGAACCGGGGGCGCTGGCAGGGCCTTGGAGGAGCGTGAACCCTGCCTTTCCGGGGACCCACATGGGAGGTGACCTCGTTCCTG